GAATTATATAATGTTCTCGGTACTAGCCAGTACGACATCGTGTTTTGTTGGATACAAAGCCATGTTGAAATTGGCAGCACGGTTGCCAACACAAAAACGGATTAGTAGTATTATTTCTGTAATATAAATACTATTTGCCCTCCATGATGTACCAAATATGTGTCTGTTTGTGTCATGTACATATGTACACATGAGCATCAATTAAACTCCAAAACTCGCATTGACAGGGATTTATTAAAGTTACATTTTTCGTCACTGGTGTATGAACGTTGCCACGTCACTGCCATATTAACATTGACATGACACTATCCATCGATGAGGTTTAAGAAACTAAAATAAACACAACATTTTTTTAGATGATGCATTAATTATAGCATTTCAATATATCTTTCCTGAATTCTCAAATATGAGATTTCAAGATTATCAAACAAAGCATTTCAAAATTATAGCATTTTAATATATCTTTCCTGAATTCTAAAATATTGGATTTCAAGAGTATCAAATAAAGCATTTGAAAATTGTTGTGAGACAATGCAGTTCAATAACGTGCTTCAGTACCAGCTTTCGATTAAAATTACACAATAGTAATGATCAAAATATTACAAATGATAATCTTACAACATACACTATTCAAATATCATGTAAAGCGCACAACATATCATTAATACTCACATTTGTGTTGCTATACAGAGAGGATTGCGGACAGCCAAGTGACCATGTGAATATCACAGTAACCAGACTTTGCATGAATATTTTGTGCAAGAGTTAGGTCATGTGATCATCAGAAATGAAGTGAGGCTATATATTTACTGATTAAATTTGCAGAAGTTTTTGTCATTATGCTAGATTTTAACCCTAGCACTTTGGATTTCAAGTTAAGTGTGTTAACCACTAGGCCACGGTACAACACACTCATACAAGCCTGGTTTAACATGCTGAACATCACTGAATATGAAATAACTGGAATATAGCATTAAGAAACACCATTCACTTTTACATGAAATCACAAAAACGCATGTTGAATGATATCCTTAGAAATCCAAATCCAAATTCTGCAGAGGCAGCTGTAACATTTACTATTCTGATTAAAACCAAAAACAAAGCTGGTATAAAATATTGGTAACAGTAAACTGTTAATGCATGCGGTCTGAGAGGAATATAGAAAACATGAACATCGTCAATGTCGGAAAGTATGGTCACCATGACTACGCCACCAATCTGACTGCAACACAGTTCTCAAATAGTGAGTTTATGAACCACCACAGAAGACCCTGTCAGAACCTGGAGTAGCCACCCTCGCACGGATAGCATATGTCAGCCTCATCCCTATATTGGTAACCCAAGCGTTTAATTCTCAATATTGTCAACCTTGCTACTGAAGTCAAAAAAGGAACAAATCATAGGAGGCAAGCTCCAAGAACCTCTGCAACAGCTGATTATCTGACATATTCATTTTTTTCAAACCACAGTTGTTGTTTTTTTTTCTATGTACTATTAGCAGAGGACTTTAGATGGAAACGTGATCTCCTCTCTGACGTCTTCTGGGATCTTGAACTGCTGACATCAGGATGGTCTGGGCTGATGCAGATTATACAGCATCACAGCCAGCAGTCACACCTTGGTCCAAAGTAGTCTTGGCGGAGGGTAAACTGTATTTATCGCTGCCGGACCAGCGTTTCGTCAACTCTCACACCAAAGAGTGTGTTTACGTTGGATCAACGTTTGTTTTACTATCTAGTACCCCATTGAAGAAGCCTGAAATGATTGTCCCAATCCAAGATCACGTACGCTATCACGTTGGAAGCAATGCATTCGTCCATTTGAGTGAGTGAGTTAAGATTTGCTGTCACATTGGCAATATTCCAGCCATATCGTAACTAAAGCAAGGTTTAAATTCACAATAAATACTTGTAAATTATTTGTAAAAAAACTGTCAACAAAGGACCGTAAAACCAACTAGAATATAAAAGTATCAAGGGATAGAACAATCATCTCTCTCTAATTTTTTTTTTTAATTGGGACAATACATCCTAAAGATTGGCTAGAGATCGCCAACAACTGAAGGTAGATCACCATACTTGGGACCATCGGGACTTACAGCGCCTTTGCTACCTGCATGGACCCTAGTTGCATTTACACCATCCCTTCAGATGTCAGCGAGTATAGATAAATCTATCCATAAAATCAAATAACATAAAAAACACAATATATCATCTTTCAGAATCTCTTTCGGACGTTCAGACTATTAAAACATTTTTGTTTCTAACCAATCTAACCCTGCATTTAACTGTGTTTTAATCCTCAACGAAAAGTCGCCTCTAAATCCGTATTGTCCTGGGTCCAATCACAGTGGCACAAGCCACTGCACCACAATAATGGCCCCATCGGTAAATAAGGATTTATATGCATTATATTTACTTTTTAATTGATTATATTCTTCTTTATATTGTAGTGAGTGAGTTTCTGATTGTATAAATTGCCAAGGAGAAGAAGAAATAAGGGAAGGGGGATATAATATTTAGCTGAATGCCACCAGCAGGAACGAACGGTTTGATTCTTAATACTAGAGGTTGAATTAGAGGCGACTTGAGGATTAAAACACAGTTAAATGCAGGGTTAGATTGGTTAGAATATGATTTTGTCATAAACTGCAAGGATAATCTGAAACGGCGTTGGTTAAGAGAAGACTCAACGTCACATCGGCAATGTTTTAACCATATGGTGACAACAAAAAGTTATGTTCAAAGAATATATATATTTACACTTATTTAAAACCTGTCAGCGAAGGACAGTATAATGACTAGATTATCACAAAATAATTAAATTGAATGAGTGAATTAAAACATAAAGCCACATCAGCAGTAACAAATAATTTAAAACTAGTTTGAGTTCAGTGTAAAAAGTTAAATCATTTAAAAAAAAACACAATATAAAATCGGGCTATGAATCGTCAGCAACTGAAAGTAAGATCACGGAGAAGTTCTGAAGGACTCGTCCATTTGAAATCACCTTGAACTCTGACCATGAAATAGCAAGTCAAGGAAATGCTTCCTCCCTTGCCGGGTACGTCTGAACTGCGTGATACAGGCACAATAAATAATGTAAATGTTTTCATACAATTAGTCAGGGTATTATGTATAGTTCTATATACCCTTCAAAGCAGTGGGAACAGAATCACGAGTGATTTAATTGAATAAAGAGACACGTGAAATTAATAATACAAAATCATACCCTGTTCAAAGCCCCACATTACGATTGACTGTTTTTGTCACACTCCACACATTTACTATTGTGGGTATAACAAAGGCCAGTGCATGCATCTGACGTTCCACGATCCGATTCCCTGACCAATTAACTCTCTCTATGCCTGGGTCACTACATGGCCGCCATGTACTTCGATCTATCGTTTCATGTACAATGTACAATGCACCGCTGTAACGATTGGAGTAAAAGCAGGAATGAAGATGGAAGATAATCTTGACAACTTGACCAGTCACATTCGATTGTTTCATCTGGTTTCCTCGGAGAAGCACAGCAACCAACATTAATTTTGCAGATGCGTGTGGACTTTGGTCGGTGACTACCGAACTAGTTCTGATCTCCAACTCATACCATTTAACTGACGGTCTAGTTTTGCATCCCACCGTATATCTTAAAGTAGTCATGAGTTGTTTTCAAAGGGTATTGTGATGTGCCATCCTCAAAAGACGATACACATTCACACCAGATGTACCTGTTGCAAACGAAGGGAAAGTTTTCATCAGATTTTTCTTCCACATTCATATCAAAAGCAAGTTTTTGAGCTTCCAGCTTTTGAAGAGCCTCTCTGGAGGAGCATCATGTGTTGGTGCATTGTCAAACACTAAGCTTGGCAATCAGGACATGATTAATGTCATGTGTACTTCGACAAGGTTTCCAGAGGCTGTTCCTTTTCAGAAAGATATGGCTCATTATTAGGGATTTGATGAAGTCTTCAGTATGTTTAGTTTGCCTAAGTCTATTCAGACAGATCAAGACTTCCATTGAATGTCAGGGTTGTTCCAACAGGCCATGCGTCAGTTTGGTAGGATAACATTGAATAACTTGATATACCCAACTGCTGATAGTGCCCTTAAGCTTTTCAGATATTTCTGCTGTCAAGTGAAATTGCAGCTCTTAGGTAGGATAACATTGAATAACTTGGTATACCCAACTGCTGATACTGCCCTCCAGCTATCCAGATATTTCTGCTGTCAAGTGAAATTACCGCAGTTAGGTAGGATAACATTGAATAACTTGATATACCAAACTGCTGATACTGTCCTCCAGCTTTTCAGATATTTCAGCTGTCAGGATAACATTGAATAACTTGATATACCCATCTGCTGATACTGCCCTCCAGCTATCCAGATATTTCAGCTGTCAAGTGAAATTACCGCAGTTAGGTAGGATAACATTGAATAACTTGGTATACCCAACTGCTGATACTGCCCTCCAGCTATCCAGATATTTCTGCCGTGAAATTACCACCAGTTAGGAAACATTGAATAACTTGATACTGCAGCCCTCTATCAGATATTTCTGCCGTCAAGTGAAATTACAGCTCTTAGGTAGGCTAACATTGAATAACTTGATATACACAACTGCTGATACTGCCCTCCAGCTATCCAGATATTTCTGCTGTCAAGTGAAATTACAGCTCTTAGGTAGGATAACATTGAATAACTTGGTATACCCAACTGCTGATACTGCCCTCCAGCTATTCAGATATTTTAGCTGTCAGGATAACATTGAATAACTTGATATACCCACCTGCTCTCAAGCTATGTAGAAATTTCAGATGTCAAGTGAAACTTTTTCAGTTAGGTTTATTCATCATATTTGTCACATAAACGCTGAGCCATCCTAATGAAACACTCATGCCGTCGGTTCCCGGATATAATACGATGTCCTACATCTTTAATATTGTACCTTCCAAACTGTCGTCGAAGATTTGTATAGAGTTTTACTTTGTGTTACAGCCCCTCCACTGTGTGATCTCCATACCGCCTCAAAGACCGGGGACCTGTCAAGGGTGCAAATCATACTGTCACAGGGACGGAGGGACATTAATTGTCAAGAGTGGATTGGTAGAACACCAGCGATGTGGGCAGCCAGTGGGGGGGCATAGAGAAGTGGTGGAGTTACTTGTGAGTACAGGAGCTAATGTGTCACTCGTCGATAGATTCGGCATCAACATTCTTCACTCGGCCTGTCTTGGAGGAGATGTAGAGGTGGTGAAGTATGTCCTCTCACAGAACATGGTGGACATCAATGGTAGAGTACGGTGTGGGAGAACAGCTGTGATGCTGGCAGCAGCAAACGGACACAAGGACGTGGTGGAGATGTTTGTGGACAAAGGCGCTACAGTGTCATTCGTGGATGAGACAGGTAACAACATCCTTCACTGCGCCTGTAGGAGGGGAGATATGGAGGCGGTGAAGTACATCCTCTCACAGAAAATGGTTGACGTCAACAGTTATGGGCCTCGGAAGAAGACGCCACTGATGGTAGCAGCAGAACACGGACATAAGGAAGTGGTGGAATTACTGGTAACACATGGAGCTGATCTGTCACTCAGTGTAAAAGGACGAGATGATATCCTTCACATTGCCTGTAACCGCGGACAATTTGATGTTGTGAAATATCTCCTCTCACTTAACTCGGTGGACATAAACAGCAGGGGATACAAGAAGAGGACACCAGTGATGGCAGCAGCAGAACACGGACATAAGGAAGTGGTGGAATTACTGGTAACACATGGAGCTGATCTGTCACTCAGTGTAAAAGGACGAGATGATATCCTTCACATTGCCTGTAAAAGCGGACAATTTGATGTTGTGAAATATCTCCTCTCACTTAACTCGGTGGACATAAACCGCAGGGGATACAACAAGAGGACACCAGTGATGACAGCAGGAGAAAGGGGTAAAAAAAAAATTGTGGAATTACTTGTAAAACATGGAGCTGATCTGTCACACCGTGCACCATTGGGAGGAAATATCCTTAACTTGGCCTGTCGCGGTGGAAAAATAGAAGTAGTGAAATATGTCCTCTCACTGAACACAGTGGACATAAACACCAGGGGAATCAAGAAGAGGACACCAGTGATGATAGCAGCAGCACACGGGCATAAGGAAGTGGTGGAACTATTGGTAAAGAATGAAGCTGATCTCTCACTCAGAGATAGCAACGGTAAAAATGTTATTGAACTTGGCCCGTGAAGGAGGACATTTGGAGGTGGTGCAATATGTCATGTCACTGTGAATTGTGAACCATCAATGCTGAGAACCAAAGAGAGAGAGAGAGAGAGAGTCAGGAGCCAGGAAAACGAGTCGACAAGAACTTTACCCTTCGGACCTTCTTGTGTCATGGGGTGCTTACATGTATAATAGATTGCATCAGGATGTAATGACTGACTATAATGGAAATAAAGGAAACTGTCAAGGCAGTAGCAGTAGCAGAAGCAATGTACCAGTTTCCACAGCGGCAGCAGTAATAATAATAGTGGTAGTAGTAGTAGTAGTAGTAGTAGTAGTGGTAGTAGTGGTAGTAGTTGTAGTAGAAGTTGTAGTAGTAGTAGTGGTAGTAGTAGTAGTAGTAGTAGTAGTAGTAGTAGTAGTAGTAGTAGTAGTAGTAGTAGTAGTAGTAGCAGCAGCTGGAGTAGTAGTAGTAGTAGTAGTGGTAGTAGTAGTAGTGGTATTGGTAGTAGTAGTAGTTGTAGTAGTGGTGTTACGGTTAATAATATGCCTGAGAAAAGTCCAAAATAGTCAATAATATATTGAACAAACAATGAGCAAGCTACAAAAAATGACAATACAGATTTCTAATACAATGCAATTGAGTCACAAATCTAAAATGTTGGGTCACAAATATAGAATATTAATTTAACCAGTCTTGACATCTACGGTGAGAACAGTTGCGCATAAATCCAGTCATGTGAAAAGATCTTATATAGCTCTTACACAGTTCGCGAGCATTCTAGCAAAGCTCGTCTCCCTCATTATTCTCTCAGAACCATGCAGGATTTTGTTGAACATACGACAGGAAGTCAAAAGAAAATAAAGCCAGCCAAGGGAGGCAACTCTTAAGTGCTATGAAAAAGGTGTACCGCTAAAACGCTATTGCCATTGAACATATATGATGCGAGAGTATTACAGCAACAGTACTAGTGTTAGCAGCAGTGAAAGGAGCAGGGCGAATCCGCTAATGCACAGCCACCTCCTGAACATAACACCCTGACACAATCAGCGAACAATGTAAATCTGAGGAGATTCCTAATAAGATCAAGATTCAGACACGTTGTACACAAGCTGCTACTTCCCATATATGGTACAGTGTTATCTGCGTGTTTAGTACATGCTGTACACACCACCTTAGCAATCACACATATAACGTGTAATCACACGTAATGTTCAGATTCTGTGGTCTCATATATAAAAAAAGGAAAATGAAGACGCAGTAGGTTTGGCAAACGTTTTCAGCAGGTCATTCGGCGGAAGAGCAGCATAACGGCATCCTCAAATAAAACTTGCCATAATTATTTACCTGTAAATGTATTTTCTAAATTTCTCAGCACACAGCCACAAATAACGGCCATCGTTGACTCCAGGAACATCATGCAGAGTGGTACTCTGTCTAATATGTTCTTCACAATTAAACGTTTTCTTTCTATATAATTTGATCAATATTTGTGTTCCCCGTTTTCTACAAGTTAGTAACGTTCGGTTTATTTTGTCATAAACAAAACCAATCTCAATGATAGACCACCGATTGAAAGAATAGGAATGATCCCCACAATTGCGTCATACTTTTGATAGATCCAACTATTGTCGCTGGAATCAATGTGTAAAAAGCATTATCTCCTCACCATTGCTATTTACACCAAACTATCGTCTGCAGGTATCAGGTATAGTCTACTCTCCCTACAACAAACACGGCCATTACAGCTCAGCCGTCATCTGAGTCAAACGCTGGCATTATGATATTTATCGGGTTTATATTGATTTTGTTTGATAAACCTTCCGACATTGACATTGGGCATGGCCAAACACGTGTTTATTTTAGGTGACAAGACACGAAGGTTGTTTGAAAGATAGTGTTCATAAGCAGAATCCGTACTTATATGCATTTAAAACAAAACGAATCAATACCTAAATAATACAGATCATGAAAAATAATCACAATATTTGTAATTTTATCCACCCTTGATGAAACTGGAAGCACGTACAGCATCGCACACATGGAGGTAAAACATGCACGAGATGGAAAACTACCATGGACACAGTTTTAAAATTGATTCAAATTCCCATAAAATCAAAATATATAGTGTCATAATTATTAACTTTTAATCACCTTCAATTGGTTGCTGTTAGCTGTTATCTAACTGTAGTCGTCAACTTTTCCACAATATTGCTGCCGGTGCGTATAATCATTTTTTCACCTTTCCGAAGTTGTAATAGATTTTGCGGTGGATGGTTTTCGAATAATTTTCTGACATGGGACAATATTATAAAATATCAGTATGTCATAATATTAACATAATATTGTTCTCTGTCTATCATTACGATTCTGATAATTGACCATGTTAACGCATGAAACCTTTTCCCTTTCACAGAAACGGATGAAACCTGATCTTGTGCAACAAACTAGACTTATGGTACATGTAACTGGATTTCCTAAAATTGGAATGATGGGATGAAGAAATTATCACCGTCTTTGTGGATTCATTTCATTCAAAATCGGTAATTATTTTAGACATTAGACATTTACCCGTGCTGGGTAACGCTAAGAGCTCTTCAACCCGGAGGACCCGGGGGTATATTTGGTCCACAGCACCCCATTGCTGGCCTTAGGGCGAATTGGGCAACCTGTTTGCAGTGGGTTGCGTTCCTTTGTCGGTGAAGGACGGGAGCTCGGATGATGAACATTTACACACTAACCATGGCCTACGAAACCCGTATTACGAAAAAAACCCGTCTTCTTGACACAGATCCTGATGTTAATGACCAACGACCGTCCACATCTATTGAATACTGGCCACGTTTTATAGTGCTTGAGACCGTTGTCAAGACTCTTTTAAAGGTGAACCCTTTTGCCGTTTCAAAAGGCATACAAGGCATTGCAGGAGATGTAAGAAACGGTAAACGTTTGCGGACAGGTTCTCTACTCGTTGAATGCAGTAAGAGACAACAGGCAACCGACCTCCTGTCAACTATATCTTTTGTCTTTCACAAAACACTTAGTTGATCGTAAGTCACTAAGGTAACCTTAGTGCAGTAACCTTAGTGCAAGCCTTCAAGTCACGCTTGCAGGCGTCCCTGTAGCGCATGCTTGGTATGCCGGTCTGGGGCTTGCGTTTGTGGCTCGATCCTGCCAGCTTGGCCCATGATGTTGGTCTTCTCGAGGCTGATGGTGAGGCCGAACTCTGTGCCTGCCCCTGGGGAGCATGTGATGAGTCACTGGAGGGTCACCTCGGAGTGTGCACTGAGGGTGGCATCATCTGCAAATAGCATCTCTCGTATGAGAACCCTGCGAGCCTTTGTCTTTGCTCTGAGGTGGGTGAGGTTGAAGAGGTTTCCATCACTCCTCGTATGGAGGAAGATGCCATCTTCAGACTTGCGGAAGGCGTAAAGCAAGAGTAGGGAGAAGAACACGCCAAAGAGTGTCGGGGCCAGGACACACCCTTGTTTCACACCGCTCATGATTGGGAATGGGTCGAGCATGATCCGTCGTACTGGACTGTGCCTGCCATGTCGTTATGGAACGATGTGATAATCTTCAGGAGCTTAGGGGGACATCCAATCCTGTATAGGAGGATGAAGATGCCTGTTCGACTGACCAGGTCAAAGGCCTTGGTCAAATTAGGAACAAGGGGCGTCTCTGTTCACGGCATTTCTCCTGTAGCTGCCTGAATGAGAACACCATGTCAATTGTCGACCGTTTTGCTTGAAACCCACATTGCGACTCAGGGTCCACTTGGTCGGCGAGCAGCTGGAAGCGGTTGAGGACGACTCGGGCTTTTACAATCTCTGGTGGAATTCCATCGCTGCCTGGTGCTTATCCACGGGGAGAGAGAGTCGATGGCCTTCCTGAGCTCCTTGGTGGTGGGCAAAGGTGTTGATGACGGCAGTTTCTCGCGAGTACAGCTACTGGTAATGCTCAGCCCATCTCTCCATCTGCTTGCAGTCCGCAGGGAGTGGATATCACTGCATAGCTTCAGCCAGTAGTCATTGGCGCACTTGCGGGCGATCCTCTTGGTGCTGTTGCAGGCTTCCCTAAAGGCAGCTAGTGTTGACTCGGAGGGCTGTATTTTGTACTCCAGGTGCGTGGCATGCTTGATGGTGATGGAAGGCTCAATCTCCTCGATCTTTGCATCGAACCAGTCCTAACTCTTCCTTGCTCTCTTCCCGAAAGTGTGTCGGAGGCAGTCTTGTACATGGATGAAATCCCATCGCACCATAGCAGTCTCTGTTATTCAGTCCTCCAGTGACTCATCGATGGCTTGAGCGAAACATTCACGCAGTTCCGGCATCAGTGTTGTGGCTGTGTCGATGCGAGGGCGGCCTTTTTGCTTGGAGCGATGTATTCGTCTTGGGCGGATTCAATCTGTGTGCATAAAAAGTATTTAGCATCTTTAAGTATATTGTGATAACAAAAAGTTAGGGTTTCACATGTGCTGAATAGGGAATACAACCATTTATGTTCCAAGTATGACAGGCATAGATCCATTTTACAGACAGATCCAATGATCATGGACAAGTTGCCAGTGCCACAGTCCTTGGATCCTAGACTGACTCCTCAAGAATTCCAGACACGCGTTCCATTTTCATAGGGAGCGACCTAGATAGACTTTGTCTTGTATGTCTTGTATGTTGGAAATTGATATTGTCTCCTAGATGAAAAAAATGTCATGTCATTTACGTTAAACATTTCAAAATCTGTTAAAAGAGAGACAAACTTTAACTATACAATATAAAACCAGGGATTGAGAGGAGACCCTGCACGGAGAGGAGCTTTTGGATATGAGGGAGGGAGGGAGGGACTGAGGGAGGGAGGGAGGAGAGAGCTAAAGAGAAATACACAATGAATACAAGTAGTTAAATAACCAATCACCAAAGGGCTGTAATACAACAAGAGTATCACAGTTGGTGTTTACAACTAGCAATTTATCTCAAACTGTTATATTTACAAAGACAATATAATGCAAACAAACAAAACAGGC